CAGTCCTTTTGCCGCTTTCTGCTTAGCCAACCCATTTCTAGTTTGGCGGCCCCGACGACTCTGGGCAGCCTCTGGCTTCCTACTGTCGGTGCCCATGCTTCCGCTCTTTCCAGCATACCTGCCTTCGGTTTTCTCTGTCGTGCACAAATTGGTCATATACAGTCTCTCAAGTGACGGAAGTCATTCGGGACTCACCAATCCCGACATATTCCCCCCACTCATTCGCGATGTCCTCATCGCGCACCAATCCATGGTTAGTAGGAATTTTGGAGTGATAGACAGATAGGAAAGAGAAGTGGGGTGGGATGGGTAGTTAGCTTGCCAGGGTTCTTTTTGTCTTTCCCACTCTTTTCTTGGGTCATTCTTTAAGTTTCCGCCCTTGGGGCGGGGGAGGGCATGGAGGGGGCAAGGTTTTGTTTCGGGATTTCCTTTGAATTGCGTAACGTCCCCAAGCTCAATAATGTCTTTGTAACGAGCGCGTGACATTCTTTGTGCATCAACGTCCGTTTCAAAGCTGTATCTCTTTCTCACTGGAACTCCCAAATACCCAAGAGCTTCCCACCAACCTCCGGTGTCGTCCCACAAAAGAGAGGACGACAAACCCATCACCCTCCCCAGGGACCGAGGTAAGAGGAAGATTTTGGCGGCGAATGTCACAAGGATCATTCGCCATGACTTCCTCCAGGTGCAAGCTAGCAACTCATCAAGGAGCTTAAGCAGCTTGATGTCTCTTTTCCTTATCAAGTTGACTAGCATTGCCCCTTGGAGGGGTCTGACCACAGACATGCCCTGCAACTAGTTTTTCGTTTTACGTTATTTCTCGCTCTCGACAATGTCTTGAAGGCTGCATTCATAATCTCAAATCTATCTTCCCATTTCATTGAGAAACCATTCTCGAGCAAAAATCATTATGGCTTTGTCTCATTCCTTACTCTTAGGACATCCCCTCATTTTCAATACAATTTTTCCTCTCCCCGAAGCTCAGACATAGCCAAATCCACATGCATCCTTCCAGAGTCATTCCTCCCGGCCTTTCTCAGGTCCTGCCAATTCCGCATGCATATCATCCTCTGCCTTTTCTTGCCCTTAACTTCATTGACTCTCCATGTGCATTGCTTGGCTCACCCCTCAGCCACTTCTCATCTTTTTGAGCTTATACGAGCCAATTACACAGCCAATTCTCAGCCTGCCACTTCCGGTTCATACCATGTCCCTTGCTCAAGTCCTTTCTGCACTGGCGTCTTGCCAGACCCCCTTTTCTCAGGCCTATACAAAGTCAATTACAATCTTGTTCTGTGTCGGCCATCTTAACAGGCCCCTTTTTTCCAAGCCCATGCAAAATCAATTACAAGTCTTATTTTCATGCGTATTCATTGGTAGATGGCACACCTTCCCCCCACTCAAAACGCGATGTCCCCATCGTGCGACTGGTTCCCACTCTGAGGTACGCAGACCTTTGGCCTGCCGACCGCAAGTCAAGGACACAAGCCCATCCGCTTCACAAAAGGAAGGGTGATCCGTTCTTCCCCAGCGGACGACGCCTCATCCTTCTACCCGGTCCGACCTTTCTTCTCTTGCGTGGCGAGCACCAATACCAAGGTTCCTCCTCACATCTGCCAGGTAGGTCCAATCCAAGCCTGCCAGGGCCTCGTCTAGCCGTAAGAGTGTTCCTCGCGAATTGTTCCTCCCGAGTGGTAATTTTTTGGAATCCGGCCTCTTCCTTTCAAGAGAGTTGGGGCTCTTGATCAGTCCGCGAGTGCAGTTACGAAGACCTCGCAATTAGTCCCGAAACAGTTGTAATGTTCCGGCAAGGCAGTGTCAATACCCTGTGGTGGTGGCGGACTCCACCCGGTACCTCGCCCGGCCTCTCCCCTTGGACAGTGCCGTCCAACTTAGCGCAGGCAGCCGTGGTTCGACCCAAATGGCCATGCCACCCCTCTATGGCATGGTGTGTGGTTGGAGAGTGGCAAAATAGATTTAGATGAGAATGACCTTTCTGCCCATTTGGCTTTCTCGCCCTTTGACGTTTAGGCATTCAACAGGAGGCACAGTTGGAACTCCCCAACTAGAGCTCATTGTCGGAGGTGTTCGGGACGTCCCGCACCGAACCAAGTGGTAGGTGCCTTAGTCCTTTAACCCTCATCCTCTTCCCTCAAAGGGATGAAGGTCTTTTGGGTTCGCGATGCATGCACCGGTATCCCCCTCTTGTTGAGGCCAAAGTCTAGAAGACAACATAAATTCCATTTCAATGCTCTTTCCAAGCCCATTTCAAGTTGCCTAGGGTCCCCTGTTTATGCAATGCAGTTTCCAATTCTCAATCCAATTCCAATGCTCCGTCTCATTCCCAAACTCAATCTCGTTGCCATGCTCAATCCACTTCCGATGCTCAATCCAATATCCCTTCCAAGGCTGAGTCCGATATCCTTTCCAAGGCCAAGTTCTTCCAATCTCTTTTCCAAAACTCAGCTCTTCCAATTCCATGCATCACAAGCAACCATGCAAGGGGACCCCAGTACCAATTCCAAAAGAATGACCCTTGTCAGGGGCCATTCCGAACAACCTTGTTAGGGTCGTTCTTTCCATTTCCAAGTCGAACAGCCTGGTTAGGCCATTCTTATTCATTGCAATCGGACAGCCTAATTAGGGTCATCCTTGTCCATTTCAATTGAACAACCTGGTTAGGGCCATCCTTGTCCATTGCAATGTTAACGCCCGAGGGGGTGGGCCTCGAGGACACGGATCCTATCTCGTCTCGGGGGTTAGAGGGCGGCCATCGTCTTGGGTTCTTACGCATGCTTCTTCCTTTTCCTCATATCTTCTGTCATTCTTACATCCATCCATACATCCGACTTAGCGTCTAATACTCAATTTGAGGCTCGCGGCCGCAAGCAGCACTAGCCCGCCCGACCGTTCAACCATTGCAAGGGGTGTTGCATCATTTAAAAGTTTCCCTGCCACTTTTCTGACTTCTCATATGCTTTTGAATGCCCTGGGATTGCCCGGGGTAGGTTGGATTAGGCTCCTAGGGAAGAGAATATTTCTTTGCCAATAGGTTCCCTAACCTCTCACAAGGACTCATGCCACGGCTCATTCAATCATGGATGCACAACTCAGAAGAAAGACTTTTGCCCTGAATGTTTCTCCCAACGTTCAAGAGTCCACATGGCCCTGCCCATTTCCTTGAGACAAAGTCAATCACCCCGAGTCCCTTTATTACTACAAAAGGCTCATGTTTCCCAAAAGGAGCAGGTACTCATACAAAGTAGCACCGGTCACCCACCCCCCACTAGTTTCTTCAATCCAAAAAGCAGTTACATCGCAGTCTTTCCAAAAAGAAAACGAGGAGACAAAATCCGAACGCACGACAATATTACAAACTCGTCTCATCTAGTTCTTCCCTGTTTTTCCCTTACTTTCCCTTAGCCATCCCAGCCATCTACAGTTCTATTCTAAGTGCAAAAAGTTCTCGTGCCTGTTCTCGAAGAAGCAACGACTTATATGAAGTAGCATTTGTCACCCAGTCCTTAGCCGCTTCGAGCTTAGCAGCTGTCTCATCATAGTTCATCCAGGAAGAAGTTCAACTGCGCAAAAGGAAGGGTGGCAGTTCTTGCTGCTTGGTTACCACCCCTTCCCCGATTCCATTTATTCTCATCATGCCTGATGTCCCCTTTTACTATCCCGGTGCCCTGAGCCGAGCCTCCCTCCTTGCACGGTCCTCCATCTCTTGCTCCATTAGCCTCTTTATTGTCTGTAGATGACGAAGCGTTTCTTCTGAAAAGAAAGTTGTGGGGGATATGTCTTCTCCCCTGGTCAACTTTTCCTTGCCCTTCATTGCCCACTGGTAACGCAAAATACTGGACCATTGATCAAACCAATCGCTGAAAGTTGGCCCGAATTCTCTTTTCCATGGGTCCTTTTCTTCCTCTCAGCCCTCCTCTCTTCCCCGATCTTCCCTTGTGGGCGTTGTCACTTTGTCCTCTTCTTCCCCGCTATTGATGTCTATGACCTGGATGGACGACTCCTCTTCCAACCTTGGCCTTTTTCTCGGGTTCCTCTCTTCCTCCTTGCTGGTATCGCTCTCAGAGGGGAGGACTATTGGCTCCCCCTCCCTTGGCGGTGAAGGTCCCCTAGTCCCTTGCTTTCTCCCCCCCCTGTTCACAACCAGGTTTATGATCAAACCCCACATACAATTTCCTTTTCCTGGAGCTTGATTCTCCACTCTGTCTCAACGACTGTCCCTCAGTAGGCCTATTGATGGCGTTGCTGTCGTTTTCATTTCCAAACTCCATTTTGCCATTTACAGTTCGCTCCTTGCTTGGTCTTGTTCATGCATATCAGTTATCACACCCCTCATACACACGCGTTCCCTTCCACTCCCATTCGCAGCTTTGGAGGCTTCCCTAGAACTCTTGCTTGCCCCCATGTAGTTGGTAGTCCCATTATCCCTTAGAACCCTCGGCACATTGTCCCAACACATAGGTGCCCCATGTAGGCAGTCCGCAGCATCACCCCACAAAAACTATGGTACATTGTCCCAACACATAAATATCTCGTGCAGACAGTTTCCAACGTTACCCCACAAAAAACTATAATACACTGTCCCGTGCTCCCAAGCCCCGTCACAGTCAGCCCAGGCAGTCTCCCCACGTTCCACAAAACCAAGACAAACAAAAGAACAATCCCTGTGGTCATATGATCACTTCCACAGGGAGGCGGTCCAGTACTTATAGCCAACTTCCCGCCTTTCAGGTTGTCAATTCCCCAGTTTCCCTGTCCTGGGCCTCTTGTAGCCACTGTTCCATCGGGTCCCTGCTAAAAAATCTGACCAATCTCTGTCCTGGAAATGGCCCTCTTATGCTAGTACCATCGAGATCCTCAAGTTCAAATGTGTTCAGTCCCACCCGCTTAGCGATCCTGTAGGACCCTTTGAATCTTTTTCCCAGCTRCCCGGACCATGTGCTTTCAAGAGCCGAGTTCCTAACTAGCACCTTTTCCCCCACCTGGAGTGGCTCCTTCCGAATGTTCTTAACCTGGTCCCATCTTGCTTTATCCCTCATTCGGCTATTCGTCACACGATTGACTACTTCCTCGAGTGCCTCCTCATTTCTGGCGACCTGCTGACAGCGTGCGGTGATTAACTCTTTCGTGCTCAAGTGTGGGTCGTCATCTAGCCTGTTCCAGGTGGGGAACAAAGTTTCTATCGGAAAATTGATCTCCCTTCCATACCAGAGCTCTGCTGGAATACATCCCGTTGTTCTTTTTGGAGTCATGTTCTCGGTGAAGACTGCCTGCTTGAGAAACCGTGGCCAACTTCCCAAATTATGTGCTGCCAACTTTGCGATTGTGTTCTTCAAAGTCCGGTGACCTCTTTCTACCGGTGCATTTGCCTCAGGATGGTAGGGTTCGGTGATCTTGATCGGTACACACAGTGTCTTAAGCCTGTTCAACACCTCCTGGTTAACGAATTTTGTCCCATTGTCTGCTATAAACCTGCGCACGGAGGGGTGCCTTAGGTAGAAATTTTCCACCCAATCGGCCACTGCTTTCCCTGTCTTCCTCTTGAGGGCTACGGCTTCTACATAGCCACTAAGATTATCCCTTGCATCCAAGATGTATCTAARCCMATCCRTYGATACGGGCATAACGGCAAGATCGAGGTGAACAAGGTGTCCGGGTCCCAGTACCCGGGTGGGTCTAAGGGGCTCGTAAACCCGTACGGAGCTCCTTTCTTGACATATCATACACGTCTGACAGTACGTTGCGACCATGCCTGCCATTCCTGGCCAGAAATACAGGGGCACAATCTTTGCAAGTGTCCCCTTTGACGACCGGTGACCCCCAGCTAGCCCATCATGCATTGCCTGAATTATGTCCGGCTGCCTAGACCTCCCACAAACGACGCGTCTAGGCATCATCCCTTCCTCTCTCTTGAACAGGTGGCCATTTCTTAGGACGTACTTTTGTACTTCCTCCCTTGCCTTGGGACTGACTTCCGTGGGTTGTTTGTTCCCTACAAGCAGCAAACCAATTTCTTTGAAAACGCCCTCGTACATTTGTATGAGGAAGAATTCCTGTTCGTTCTGATCCGCACCCTGCTCCTCCCGAGTGAGGTTGACTACGTACTGACACTCCTGCGCCCAGGTTTCGACCAATGTCATTATGGCGTTTTGTCCCCCTTCCACGGTCATTGCCATCAATTCCTCTCTTGCCCCTACTGCTGCTCCCCACGAGTCTTTTTCCTCTTTACGCCTAACCGTGGTGACTGGTTCTTCCCTGAGTTCTGCAACTACTGCAGGTGCGCCCTTTTCCAAGGTCTGAATCAACAACTGTCCTGTTGCAATTGCCGGATCTGTCATCTCATTATCCACGACAAGGGTCCCTCCTTCGTACTCCAGGAAGGCGTCAATTGGTTCTGCCTTCTCTACTCCTGGCGTGATACAAACCCTGCTCAGCCCATCTGCCCTATTTCGAAGCCCTGCAATTCGCTCGACCTTATAGTCGAATTGCCATATGAAGCCTATCCATCTGCCAACAGTCGGGTCTATGGGCTTGTAGTTCTTTAGGGCTCCGACAATGTTGGTGGGATCGATCCTTAGGATAAATCGCCTCCCGAACAGGTATGCCTGGAAGGTCTTAAGACAATGCAGGATCGTTAAGACCTCCTTCTTGAACTGCGAATACCGTCGTTCTGCTGAATTCAGGGTCCTACTTTCAAATCTGATTGGTCTTTCTTTGCCCTTTTCGCTTCTCTGTATCAATACTCCTCCCACTGCCAATGGTCCCTCGTCTGTTTCTAAGATGAAGGGTCGTCCTACCTCGTCATTGAAACAGGGTGCTGCTAACGTGACCTGATCGGATGAGAGGATGTCTTTCAGGGTCTGGGCTGCCTCTTCCCTATCCTCGGTCCAATCCATAGTGCCACCTTCCCTAATCATCGCGCGGATGGGTTCTGCTATCTTTGCGAAACCTTTGATGAAGATCCTCCAGAACCCGACCACCCCTAGGAAGGCTCGTACTTCCGTCGTGGTACGCAGGGGTGTCCGCCACTGAGAGATCTTATTAGTCTTTGCTGGATCGGGTTTCCTCCCATAGGCTCCACAGCGAAATCCCAGTATGGTTACTTCCGGGACGGCCAGGATGCTCTTGGGTCCGCTTGCAGTAATGTTATAGACTAGGAATCGCTGGAGTAAGTCCTTAATATCCTGCAAGTGGTCCCAGACGAACTTCCGCACTCCCGGTTGCACTTTCATCTCATCTTTGTATCTTGCGCCTTTCACGGGATTATCATCTATGTAAGGTTCACACTTTTCCGGAAACATATCCTCTGCGACGGCGAGCATCCTCCTCTAAGCTTCTGCTACCGCATTTGTGAAGCCCATAGGGGTCACTTGCATCTGCAGCTGTCCTACCGAGGTGTGCATTGCGGTATACGGTCTATCCCTCGCATCAAGCGGCAACTGATCATATCCTGAGTACAAGTCTACCAGGGAGTAAATGCTCCGCCCTGCATGAGATTCTGCCAATAAGTCGGCCTGTGGAAGCGAGCCTGTGTCCCTAGTTGTTACCGCATTGAGCTTCTGCAGGTCCTGGATCCACCTGAGTGTCTTATTGTGCTTCCTGAACACGAACCACTTGTTCACGTAGGGAGATGCGGTGGGTTCAGCGACGAAAGAATCTATTTTGGCTCTAAGCAGGTCGGTGACGTCCGCTACTATCCCAAACTCATAGGCGGGCCCTTTATCATTCCAACACTTGTGCTGTACGGTGTGGATCCTGACATGGGGAAGTAGCTTTGCGTCCAATCGTCCTTTCTGATGATCGTTGAAGGCGAAAGCTAAATGAAACTCCTGACATGCTTTTCTTATCAACTTAGTTTCTTCCGCTGTTAGAAACCCTTCCACTCCTATTTTCATGGTATCTGCTACCTCCTCTAGTATGCGATTCCCTTCCGTTGCTCGCCTCTCCCTTATTACCCGCAAGATTTCCTCCTCCTCCTCCATGGCCTCTTCCTTTGACGTTTCCACTAGGATCGAGACCGGCTTGGCCTTCTTGCCTACGGGTTTATACTTTCGCATACTACCTTCGGGGATGGTTCTCCTAAAAAAATGAACGGTCGGGATCGGCCTTGCTACCTCCAAGACGCGGGGCTGGATGCTGACTAGCTTCCCATTCAGACAGTAGCCCTTTCGAGGTCCACCCCCACCTTGTGGTACCTGATGGCCTTAACGAGTTGTAATAAATCTGGGATTTCAAGTACTACCTCCGACGTTTCGTTCCGGCCTTCCTTTGGTTTGGGCAGGCTGGCCCCAAGTTCGACTTCCGACTCCTTTTCTGCCACCATAACTTCCAGGGACTCGTCCTCTGGCCTCCTCTTCTTTACGGGCAAGCCCATCCTAATCCATTCCTTTTTACTAAAAGCCTCCTCAATCATAATTTCTACCCTTTCCCTCAATCCTTCCATTCGGGCGAATGCCCCTTTCCGTGCACTTTCTTCGAATGTTGGCGACCAGGTTGCCAATTTGCCCTTCGGAGGGTCCCCTCCAATTCCGAGGAGTCGGAGGAGTTCTCCGCGACCAGTTACCGGATCCTCTATGTCTACCATGCATGTGCCATCGTGCAGATGCATTCCTATCATTTCCACATTGGCACACCATGGTCGCTGAAAGGACCAGATGGATTCCCGGATTCCCGCCCTGACTGCACATTTGGTGACATACCCTGTGAAAGGAATTTCGCCACCTGCTCCCCGGATACTCCCTGCTACTTCCTTGTTTACCGTGCACCCCGTGACCGTTGCAAAATCCCGTCGTATAAGGGTGATTTCTGCTCCGCCGTCCACTAACGCGTCAATGTGGTGAGTTCCGATTTGAACTTAAGTTTCCCAATTGGTAATGCATGGAAGCTAAGCTTTGTCCCGGGTGGCGTCCTCATGACTTCGCCACCTTCACGATCCGGTAGGCTTAGGCGGATGTCCGCAAAGGCTTTCTCCAACTCTCCCATGCCCCCTGGAATGCTTTGGAGGTGGAGACTCCTTGCGGCGCCTCGGCCTCCTCTGTGTCCTGCTCTTGCAGTTCCGGGGCCTCCTCTACCTCTATGCGCTTACACGTTAGCAGCTGCCTGAGTCCTTTAAGCAGCCTTGGGCTGGCTTGCAGCATGGTCTGAAAGGACACCGATACCATGGTACCCAGTAGCTTACTCAAGGTGCCATCGATTTCTGGCGAAGTCAGAATCGGAATTTGATACCTGAACTTCTTTTTTTGCGGCCGTAGCCCTGTCTACCGGTTCGTCCTCCCTTGGCTTCCCATAGACCTTCTCTTGTTCCGCGACTTCGGTCTCTTGCTGACCCGTGCTAGTCCCTGCTAGTTCCTCCATTACTGTATCTTGGATGAGCTTCTTTTCTGCCCCGGTCCTGCGAGTGGTAATATTTACCCTGTCCTGGCCATTGCCTTCTAGGCTAAAATTGGCTTATGGTCCCCGTCCCCTGGGCTGGTCCCAAACAATATCGGCTATCGGTTCTGCTTCTACGGCAACTATCTCTAAGTTATTCAGGAGGATGACGACTCGCCGCATCCCTCCTGGCGAGTTCCAATTAACACGCTTCCCCCTGGGTCCGAGGATCTCGCCTTTGAAGGACCTACTGCACCTCTGCCGCTCGGTATCGTGATTGAGTCTCGGACAGGCCCGTACGAAATGCCCGATCATGGTGCAATACTTGCATTGTTCGTTGGCCGGGTCCCTCCTGCCAAACCCCCGGTTTGTTACAGCTGCCGGAACCACGGCCTCTTGGGGCGGGAGGGCGGGTCTGGACACTTGCACTTGCATTACTAACAATGCATTTTCCATTCTGTCCATCTTCCTATCAACCCCGTGCACCCGTTCGTGCAGGCTCTCTATCCCCTTCTTGACCTTATCCCCTGTCTTCCCGGTCAGATCTATAACCTCCCCTTCCTTAAGTAGGGCTAGCGTCTCGGTAACCACTGTCTTTTCCACAAGGTCTGTTACGGTGTTGAAGTCCACGTCTCTCGTGTATTCGGATTTACTAGTCTGCTGGTATGCTGACAAAATCTTATCTTTATCGGATTCGAAAAACTGCCTGAGGAAGTATTTACTCATTATACGGTCCGTTACCCCGGGAATTCGCAGAGCCACTAACGTGAATGCCCTTAGGAAATCATTGTAAGTCGCATAGTTTTTCCTCTGGACTGCAGCTAATTCGACCTCTGTTGCCATTTTTTCCGCCTTCAGGTATTTCCTCATCATCTCATTCCTGGTTTCTTGCCAGGATCCAACGGAGGCGACGATGGCCATAATGTCCCTTCCCAAACTTAGTGATACGTGTTGTCCTGCTCCATCTTTTCCTCTTCCGTCCATTTCAGTAAGGCTGCTAGGTTCTCATAGTCTATTAGAAACTCCGTAATGTTGGCCCCATCGAACGTGAGCTTCTTTTTTGCATCTGCGAGATACCCCTGGTTCTTGTTCAGTGTCCTGTTGAGGGTGGCGACT